TCCATCTCTCTCTCTCTCTCGCTCGCTTTCTGTGTCACTTTCGCGTGAGAACTGGGCAGAGGGAGGCCGGATTCTCCCCCTGGAACCTGCGGAAGGAAGCCCAGGGAGCGCCCCTGCTCCGGGGACAGCGTCTGAGATTTTGGGGAGGGTCCCCTGTATTCCCCACCTCTCTCTCTCTCCTGTTTTCGCCTGCACTTTTCCTTTAAGACTTGGGGGAAACCATGACTTCCAGCTATGCCCACATCATGGAGAGACAGGCCGTCCTTGCCACCCGCTTGGAGAGCCCCAGCAACCTGGACAACTTACAGGCCAAAAAGAACTTCTCCGTCAGTCACCTGTTGGATCTGGAGGAAGCCGGAGACATGGTGGCGGCTCAGGCGGACGAGAGCGTAGGGGAAGCCGGCAGAAGCTTGCTGGAATCCCCGGGGCTAACCAGCGGCAGCGACACCCCGCAGCAGGACAGTAAGTGAGACTGGGGGTCCCCAGCGCGCGGCGCAGGGGCGCAGATAAAGCAGGCGGTAGCGCGCAGGGGACAGTCTGAGATCAAACTAATTTGGGGGGGGGGGAGGGTGGAGACTGCCATAATGACACTATCCCACAGCTGGAGCTGTGTCCTTTAGCAGAGGGATCGATATTCTGGGGGAAGACTGGGCTTGAAAGGGACTGTCCTTGTCGTGGAAAGAGAGAGTCGGGTTGGGGGTTCAGTCTGAGCTCTGCGCGCCTGAAGGGCTTGGAGATGGCCGGCTGGAAGTGAGCAATTGCAGTTATTGCTGGATCAGGCAGAGCCTGGGGCCGGTATCTGGTGGGGGACGGCTACACGGTCCCGGGAAATCAGGCGCTGGTGCCAGTGCCACAAGCTGGACATCGGGCGGCTGGGCTGGGGAGGGACCGTGTGCGTCTGGCAGGAGAGGTTGGGGAGACGTGTTCACCAGGAACGCACGGTTGTTAATCGCACAGGGGGTGGCTGCAGCAGGGGTGCCCGTGTGGATTAGGTACCCAGGGAGCCAGCGCAGACACACCGCGCTGTGTAGGGGGGCTGGCGGAGCAGTGAAATCAGCATCTAAAGCCGCATCCCGGGGTTCTAACACCTTTCCACTCTTGGCAATGACTGTCCTTGAAGAGGGATCAGTAATCAGAGCTCGGATTCAATCCGAATCGGTCTTTAATTAAGACGACTTGTAAGTTGAACTATAAAATAAAAATACTTATTGGAACCCGAAGGGTTTTAATAAATCTCTGGGATTTGCCGGGGTAGTGGTGGTGATTTGGAAATAGGGCCTTGGAGCCACCGGTTGCAGATACCTTCCCCCATCCACCCCAACACAAGCACCACAACTATACACAAATACATCGCTAAGATATCACACCAAAAACAAAGAACGTCCTTCCCCGTCTTCTCACTCACTCTCTCACTCACTAAAAAGAGAATGACAGGTTTCAGAGTAGCAGCCGTGTTAGTCTGTATCCGCAAAAAGAAGAACAGGAGTACTTGTGGCACCTTAGAGACTAGTCTCTAAATTTGTTAGTCTCTAAGGTGCCACAAGTACTCCTGTTCTTCTTTTTAAAAAGAGAATGATATGTTAGGGTCCCAACAATGTGTATTTAAATTTGAGTGGAAATGTAAAGGAACAAACCTGCAGACTTTGCCCTGGTAGGATGCTTAGTTTTACTATAATTTCTTCTTCTTAATTTCCCTTTACTCGAGAGAAGGAGATTGGCTTTTCATTCCACCCTCAGTGAGTAAAACCTGACTGCCCTGGTACATTCTGAAAAATAAAAATAAATCATTCCTCCTTTACGTAGTAAGTAGATTAAAAAGCAGATGCCCCGTTAAAGTGGGAGATACGGATTTCTTCTCCCATATTGGCCAGTTTTAATATACGAGCTCTTCATTTTATTTCATGCTGATTTAAAAACCTTTGTCCCAGGTCATCTGTAGTCAGAACGCTCTGTGGGATGGCGCTAAGAGAAAGAACTGGAGCTAGGGGATGTCTCTGGCACTCTAGATACAGGACAAAGTACCTTATTTTTAAACACGCTTTCCAAAGAGGGTTTGAAGCCCGAAGAGAAGGGGCAGCCAGCGGGTGGGGATGGATTTCCTAGTCTTCTGCCCTCACCTAAGAGCCGGATCCCTGCTTGACTCCAGTAGGAGCAGGATCGGATCGCGAGTAGCAGCTACTTGCTGGCTCTTTCCGGGGCGCTTTGCCATTGGGAACAGGATCGGGATTTCGGCGTTCAATCCAGATTCCAGTCTCTACGGGGGTGGAGGGGGGTTGCTGGCGGAGCGAAGCCGGCTAGCCCAGAAACGCTCGCTCCAGCCTGGGTTTACCGGCACCGCCCGATTGAATGGACCGGGGTTTAATACTGAGACACAGGCGGTTCCAGTCCTGCCAGGCCAACTCGGACGTGAGGGGGGCATGCCAGAGCTGGGGAGCCGGTTTAATCAGCGCTCCCCCTTTGCTGAATTGGACGCCCGGAACCGCCTCGTTTATCTGTCCGGCAGAGCCACCCCACCGGCCCCAGGTGGAACTGAGCATGGATTTAACCCGGGGATTTTGGGTTAAGGGCTGGTGGACTAAATCTCGGGGCATCCCAGCCACAGGGTCCTGACGCTGCCTTAATCCCCATCCCTGTTATTTTCAAAGGGAATGGCTCAGACGCAGGTAGCGCCACTATTTACTCTAGCGCTGCCCCAGGAGCTCTGGTGGCGCCCCGTTGTGCTAGGCGCTGTACAGAGGCAGCACTGGGGCAGGCCAACAAGCGATCAGTGCGGCGGGTGTCTGGCTTGAGGGGATGAGCCAGGCGAGATCGCTGATTGTAACGGACCCAGGAGGGCTGTGGCTGCTGGGGAAGGGAACACAGAAATAGTCCCACACTCCTGCACCTTTCTGATAGGATCAAACAGATCGCCTTTCCTGCTGAAAGAGGCCCCAGCAATCCCCACCGCGCGGAGAAATGCATTGAAGCCAGCCACACGACTAAAGCTAACCCCCAAAGCGGTGCGCCCTGTACTCGGCTGGCTCCGCTATTCACGGGTGCATCCCCCAGCCCCTATCCATCCCTGCACGAGGCTCCCCCTTCTGCCCACCAGCCCGGGGCTACAGGCTTGAGGAGCTTTGCTCCCGTGTGAGCTTGCGACCCAGACAAATCACGTTCGCTTTGGGACGTGTTTGCAAGTCAAAGAAAAAAAATGCAACTTTTACAAACATTGCATTTGACTGATGTGCAACATTGGAAAGAAGAAGAATACAGAAGACCCCATTCGGTCGTAGGGTTGCAAAAGCCAACTGCTTTTCCCACAGGCGTACATTACTGTTCTAGCCCATCCATCCAGACCTAAGTGTGGTTGTTTCTTTTCAGTAGACAGGATCTTTCAGAAGTTCTGCGAAGCACAACAGAAATGGACATACTGAGCTCTTCTCAGTTCTCTGCTATTTCATGGCTAAGGCAGGCGGCGCTGGGGGAGGGGCGTCATGTTAATATTGGCTTACCTAACTGGGGGCGATTCTAGCGGTGGGGCGTTGGTGGTAAACTGCACGTACCAACACAGGGAAGGAGACTAGGTACTGAACATATACGCCCG